GTATTTTATGTATTTTTTTAGTATCGCCTGTTATTTAGCATTATTTCTGTTTTTATTTTATCAGGATATACCGCTTAGTTTAAAAGTTATTACGTTTTCTTTACAATAAGTAATTGGAAGAAAAAAATTCTATAAAAAATAAAAAATAAAAACTCAAAAAAATGTTGACCTCTTTTTTGTCGATAAAAATAGGTCTAGTTTCATCTGTTTTCATATGTACACTTTAACGTGACTCACACTGTATATTTAGATTAACCGGAGGCCGAGTACCGGATGTTAAGTCTTTTTAATCTACAACGGCATAGAAGTCGTTGTTATTTATGTCTCCTTGTCCAACAATACCCCAGGCAAATATTTTTATAGCTAGAATAATGCCATAACCAAACCACGTTAAAGTTAATAAGAAATTATTTTAGTGATCCCACGTAATGCTAGATGAGACATTTGTGTGCTAATCGTGATGAAATCGAGCATTACGGATATTCAAACACTCGTAAGAACACAACAGTATTGGTTTCCAAAACAAAAAAAGGGTTAGGGCATACTTAAAGTGCGCTTATAATAAACAAAAGCCATACGCGAGGCAAAGAAAGGGATTAGACAACAAAAAAGTCAATCAAAAGTTAAGTAACTACGACTGGTTGCACTTGATGAACATTAACGACCCAATTACAATGTATTTAGAAATTAAGAATGTATTTAGTGAAATATATAAGGCATCAACTGTAAACATAAGTAGTAAAAAAAGGGAAAGCCAACCGTGGATTAGCGATACGTTAAAAATATGATAAATATCAAAGATAAGCTCTTCAGAAACTGGAAAAATAACCCTTCTAATAATAATTTAAGATTAGAATATACAAAATATAGGAATAAATGAAACAAATTAATAAATAAGACAAGAAACACTTAGGACGCAGGAAATAAGTAATTGTAAGGGAAATATGCGTAAAATATGGGGTAAAATTAACAGCTGGCTAGGGAGAAATAAAGCATCAGTAGACACTGTCATACAAAAACATTTACTTCGAATAGAAACACCAATAGTAGTATGTAACAAATTTTGCGAAACTTTTACTAGAGAAATTGATACAATTAAACACAAGTGCAACCAACACTTTTTACCGATACATGAATATGTAAACGAATCTTATGTCACTTTCAGATACAACCCAGTATCCACTGACGATGTATCAAAGATGATAGATAGGTTAGACTGCGGCAAATCACCGGGATCAGACCAAATTAGAGTTATAGACCTGAAATTAATAAAGAAAAGCATTAGTCCTATCATCGCGAAGTTTATAAATCTGTGTCTAAAGGAGGGAACTTATCCACCTGAGCTCAAAAAATCTATAATAAGACCAATATACAAACAGGGTTCACACCAAGAATATACTAATTACAGACCGATCGCCATCTCAAATGTAATTAATAAAATAACGGAAAAACTAATAGTTAATCAAATGTCAAAATTTCTTGAGGAAAATAACATCATTACAGACGTACAATACGGATTCAGGCCAAAAAGGAATACTGCCATGGCACTATCAAAATTTACAGATGATGTTAATAACGCGCTTAATGATAAAAAGATTGTATTAGTGACTTTCATTGACTTCAGGAAGGCATTTGACACACTGGATCACGAGGGTTTGCTGCAGTCTATGGATGAGTGTGGTATACGGGGACCAGTAAAGGCGTGGTTTAAAAATTATCTAGAAAATCGAACCTTAGAACTCTTAGAAGTAAGTATTGTAGGAACAAAAAGTGACATAGGAGCTATTAAGACCGGTGTACCAACTGGATCTGTGTACGGACCAGTAGGGTACATAATACATGTCAATAGTATGGTAAATGTTATTAAATCATGTAACACGTATATGTATGCAGATGACACGTGTTTGATGTATTGCGACAAGGATCAGAGTTTAATGCAAAAAATATGCAACAAGACATTGACAGTATTGTAAAGTGGGCACACGACAACGGAATAATTATTAACTTAGAAAAAACTAAATGCATGTTAATATCGTCCCCTTATAGCCGCCAAAAGCATATTAATATCAATATAATAGGTCACTCGTATGAATGTTTACATAACAACTTTAACAACTGTAAATGCCAAAACCTTGAATTCGTAGACTCTTATAAATACCTGGGGCTAACAATTGACCGACATTTTGTGTGGAATGCACAGGTTGATCGGGTGTGCACAAGGCTGAGAAGTATAATGGGTAAATTGTACCACTTAAAGTTTATGGTAAATAGAGGAATACTTTACATGCTATTTCACGCACTAGCACAGGCGACTATTGACTACGGGCTGGGTAGCTATGGCCTCACATTTCCAACATACATCAATAAAATTAAGCTAATACAAACAAGAATGTTAAAGATAATAGTAGACAATAACCTCAAAAATCAATACAAAAACGACTATGAAAAATTATATAAGCTATGTAAAATCGTACCAATTGAGAAAAAAATTGAAATGACATTAATAATCGAGCAACAATATAACAGTGAGTTTAAAATAATACGAGAACATGGCTACCCAACTCGGCAGTCTAAACACAAACAATTAAAAGTACCAAAAATCCTAAATTACTATGGAAAGCGTACGAGACGATGGTTGATCTCAACAATTCACAACAATCTACCAAATAACCTCCTAGATAACGAGAACGACATATCGAAGATACAGCTAAAGAACATTCTAAAAAAACACTACCTGTCGATGTGCCCGTCGGATGAGTGAGATGATAGGGAGATAATTGGGTATAAAATATGAATGTGTAGTTGTTAATTTCGCGAGTGCGAGTGAGCTTTGCATGTGTGGTGGCTCGCTACTGTTCGTTCGTTTTTCAAAAGTTTTTTGATAGACATTGCACTATAGTTTAAAGCATGTACACGTACACACACAGGTGGGGCTCGCTCGCCTTCGTAAGTTGCTTAAGAAATAAGCTCAAGAACTGTATTGTTTGTTGTAGTGGTTGTAATTTTTTAAGTATTGCATGAGTAGATATAGTATAGTGTAGTAATTAGCAGGAAACACAATGAATGCTCGGGCTGGGTGGCGCCATCTTGCTGTAACTTTAATAATCTTCAAAAATCTATTAAATTCCATACAAAAAACACCCAGTTAAGATAGCATTCGGATCAAGACGACCGCGACGCGAGACCGCGACTCGAGACCGCGACCGGCGACCGGTCGCAGGTCGCAGGGCCACAGCTACTTTTACGAATCTTCGCGACACGAGTCGTGCGACCCATACGAAACTCAGTATGCTTGCAGTTACTAAACTAAACGGTTGTATCCCATCCATCTGTAAACAATAAAAATAAGTACCTTTTCTAATAAAAATATGAATCATTTGAACTTACTTGTTTTATTCAATGCTTTTCCAATGTTTTCCCAAATATTGTCTCTCACAGTATTATCTTTGTAAGCTTGAAGTCTCGTATCGAATAAAGGTGCGTTTTTACTTACTAATTCTATTAAAATTTCGTCTTCGTGCGAAGAAAACACGGCCATTTTGCATCTGTCGCGCCACGGCACTGCCTTGTGAGCGACCGAGTCGCGCGACGCAAGTAGCCGGCAGGCCACGCCCACACGTCGCGCGACTCGGTCGCTTGCATCCGTCAGCACTTCCTATTAATTCATATAAAGCAGTGGGTCGCGGTCGCCGGTCGCGGTCTCGAGTCGCGGTCTCGCGTCGCGGTCGTCTTGATCCGAATGCTACCTTTACTGCTATGGTAACGGTTGAAGTAGGCTGGTGCAACTGAGCCCGAAAAACTAAGGACGAGAACTATTGCCGACAAACTGTAATGCAGTTTGGCAAGTGTATCTATATATTTGATGTGTATCCTTTTGTGAACAATAAATAAAAAAANTGCTTTCTGATTTTCCTGAGGATTGCAGAAAAATGTGGTGAACATCAAACATAGGAAATTATTTGTCATAGGCTCTGGAAGAGCTTATTAATTAGACAACCAAATGTGATGAAGGATACGAAACATTATTATAATATCTCTAGATTGCCAGCTAATTAATAGGGTAACAACTGGCAAGCTGACATACCGTCTGTATTCCAGGCGCCTTCGATTTGCACAGCTGCCGTGGACACGCCGAATACGAAGTCTTTCGGAAATGTGTAATTGCTTTTGGGGCCTCCAGCCAAATCTAATGACGCCTCACTGTGAACAAAGAGAATAGAATGTGTTATCATCTATTTGTGTATTCCACGCAGAGTAACCTATCACTTAGAGTCCCCGTATTGAGTTCACCATCATGGCAGCAAAAAATAGCACCTTTACACATGAAGACGGGACTGAGCGAGGTGGAATGAGTATAGATGAATCACTCAGCGACAAAGACTCACCTCCACACCACGTTACGCTCCGGAAAGGTCAAGAATTCGAGCTCCGACAAGAATTTAAGGCATTCCAAGAGAGTATGTCGACTATGATGGAGAAATGGTTCGGGAAGCACGATGCAACGCTTTCTAGATTATTGAAAGAATTCGAAGAAGTTAAAACCTCTGTCCGATTCCTAAGCGATAAATATGACAATCTCGAAAAGAACACAATAGATGTTAGGAACCGAGTCCAGGCATTTGAGAAAAAAATGGAGTCAAATGAACCTCGGATAGCTGACCTGGAGGCAAAACTTGAGAGCATGGAACAGAGAGCGCGCAACTGTAACCTCGAAATTAGTAATCTGCCTGAGAAACGAGGAGAGAACTTAATCTCAATCATTGAGAATATCGCTCAGGTCATCAAACTGCCAATGTCTACACGTGACATCGTCAACATCCATCGTGTGCCGCAAAGCAGCCCGAATATTACTCGTCCAAAGAACATAGTTGTCAAATTTGNCAGTCGCTCGCCGCTCCCCTACAGTCGCTCGCCGCTCCCCTACAGTCGCTCGCCGCTCCCCTACAGTCGCTCGCCGCTCCCTTAGACGCTCGCCGCTCCCCTAGTCGCTCGCCGCTCCCCTACAGACGCTCGCCGCTCCCCTCCAGTCTACACTCACCGATCTTGTAGAGGTGGTCGGGGCGCGGCTCGTCGTCGTCGTAGCCGTCGTCGCTGTCGGCCGGCGCCACGTCGGCGCTGCACAGGAAGATGTTGCCCGGCTTCACGTCCTGCACCAGCTGGAGACAGCAAGCCAGCTAGCAAGCTAGCCAGACACGAGCTGGTCTAGTGTAGTCACTAGGTAGACAGAAGCTAGCCAGCCAGCCAGGCTAGTCGCTCGCCGCTCCCCTATCGCTCGCTGCTCCCCTACAGTCTCTCGCCGCTCCCCTAGTCTCTCGCCGCTCCCCTATCGCTCGCCGCTCCCCTATCGCTCGCCGCTCCCCTATCGCTCGCCGCTCCCCTCCAGTCTACACTCACCGATCTTGTAGAGGTGGTCGGGGCGCGGCTCGTCGTCGTCGTAGCCGTCGTCGCTGTCGGCCGGCGCCACGTCGGCGCTGCACAGGAAGATGTTGCCCGGCTTCACGTCCATGTGGACCAGCGCTCGGGAGTGGATGTAGCTGTGGGGAAATTGAGGGTTACGTTAAAATAGACAGATAGATAGATAAAACGTTTATTTGCATAACAGAAACACACATTACAAACAGAAAGTACCAAAAGTAGGATAAAATAGTACCCTCAGGACAATATGACATGGTATGGTAAGACAGATATAAAAAAAGAATTAAAAAAACATTATGACGTACAATATAGCTACACACTTTATACAGAAATGTGTGTCGCAGCAATGCAAAACGGCAACAGCTCAGTAATTGGTTTACTTAAAAGCAAACCACTGATTTTCAGCTATAGCCCAAGGACGAAAGAACGCGCGTAACACGTCAACGTGACGGTTGGGGTGTGGTGAGTTTAAGTAAATAGTTAAATAATCATCAAGAAATAAATACAGTGTGTGATCAAAGCATTAGGTCCGGTTATCAAGGCAGAACGGAGCGGAGAAGTGTTTTGAATGACCGATTACATTTCATTATTTCCACATATCTCGGCTCCACGCCGCTGTATTGTCTTTAAATTCGTTTACCTCTTCTCTACCCGTCTAAGTCAGATGTGGACATTACAAACACAGAAAGCTTTTTCATGGTTTGTTTAAAAAAAATCCGCTGTTTATCCATGGCAATTATTTAAACATTAATTGGAAACAATACAGCTCAAAAAACCACTCTCCCTCCATCTACTAGTTTAGATGAATAAACGGACGTCTGTTTAATATTACTCACGATACTAAACACGTTACACAAAGCGTTCAATTTTGTACTCGCCACTAGACTATTGTGGTAAAACCACTCCTCATCATCATTTCAGCCACAGGACGTCCACAGCTGAACATAAGCCCCAATGATTTCCACATCGCCCGGTTGGTAGCGGCCTGCATCCAGCGCCTTCCTGCTACCGCCATGAGGTCATCGGTAAGCCCACACCCAAAAAGAATGAGTGAACAAAGTCTTTAAAGTTACTCACGCTAGTCCCTCAGCTATAAGTTGTCTGGTTCCCATCACATTCCAGCTACATCTCCAACCGTTCAAATGAGTGATTGACTAATGAATGAGCTAACGAGTGAAAGAAGATTTTAAAATTACTCACGCTTGTCTTTCAGCTATGTGCATTAACAGCAAAAATAGTTCGCTCTCTTCTGCTGAAGAATTACGGTCGCAGTAATCATTCAATTGAACGAATGAACGATTGAATGAGTGAACGAAGTGTTTAAAGTTACTCACGCTAATCCGTCAGCTATGTGCGCTAGTAGTAACAGCAATTCGCTTTCCGCCAAAGGTCCGGCTTCCATCTTCTGTTGGAGGGAGCCACCGTCGCAGTACTCGTTCTGGATTATCATATGGTCGTCTTCCGCCCACGCTGAGTAATATCTGTGGATTGAATAATAATACCAACATGATGCAATAAACATAATATAAACAAATAAACAATCCTGACCACTGACACACAAATGACATCCAGTGTCATCCAAAATCGGTTTCGTTTGACAGCTCATGGTTGTTGCTCTATTCGGAAGGAATATTAACTATATTATGGTCTGACTACACTATTCGGCTAACTTCGGTACTTCGTCAAAGTATTCAAATGAATTTATTCAGTACTTAGGATGTACGAGCTATCGTACAAACGTATTCACTTTTCATATAGCTAATAAGTTATTGCTAAGTAAGCGTTTGCGCGGTTGACCCAAATTAACGTCAAACGCATTGAATACGTTATATCAATAAATCAGTGTATTTTTAACAGTCACTCAAACTGGTCGTTTTCATTCCACCTCTCTCCCGACCCTTCAGCATCACTCACATCCTCATAGCATCCTTATTACCCTAGCATTCTTTAATGTAGGAGTTACGCCCCACATAGGCCCTTTCCAGGGTACTTGTACACTTCCCAAATATAGCTTCCCCTACCACCACTTCGCGACAACGTATTAGTGTAAGATCTTAACTAAAGCCTGTTGCTGTCGCGCTCGCACACTCACTGCGGGCGCCCGTCGCACAGTCGCGACAGCAATATAATTACGCGCGAGCGATAAGGATGGGTAGCTTGGGGTCATTGGACAAAATTCTACGTGCTCACGGACCAGGCTTTAGAAGCGACCTGCAACCATCTGTTTATTCAATGAAACATAATTTAAATCAATCAGCCCATATAAAACACTATAATGGGCTTGTGTTAAGAAGAAGTAGCGGATGAAAAGAACAAGTCTGAGGCACATCTGAAGTCTCGCTGACCTCAGGCACTGACTCAGTTAAGCGTTAAACCAGGCCTGTTCATCTCCGCGAGTTTACATCGAAAACAAAACACGCACGATTGCCCCCTACAAGAGTACTATTCGACAAGGCCTCACATACGAGCGAACATTGACTCACGCACGCGTATTCTTGTGTATGATGGAAAAAAATAAAGAAATTGGTGTACTAAATACTGTGCAGTATTTAACTGCCTAAATAATAATAAAAACACAGAATGTACTTTTTTAAGTTGCCTCAAGACACTGAGAGGTAAATAAGTAGTTAATATTATTCATGATAATTCATGCTAAATCATGTATTTCCTCCGCCATTTTCTGCAGATTGGCACCTCACGTCACATCATTTTACCGAAGTCAGCCCTATAGCTTCGGCGCAGTACCGATCACTGACGTTTGTCAACAAAACTTCTGACAAACTTGCTTGACTCTTGAGACAGGCTAAATTACACCATATTGTTAATGACATTGAGCATACATTTTTTTAAATACCTTCGCGAAGTAAAACTTCTGTACGTAGTACTTATTATTANTCTAAAAGCAGCAGTTTTGTGCTGTGGTATGGAGAGCCTCCAAGATGAGGTTCTGGCCTCATCAATGGAGGCCTCCTGATTCATGTCATGTTTCATATTTTCTTGTAAAATGTGCATTGATTGATGTAATTAATTGTGTATTTTCATGAGGGTACCGAGTCATACTGCTTGGAATTGATTGACATAATAATGCCTACATTTTGAGTTGAATTTAATGTGAAAACTAAGAGAGAGTTAAATGTTTGCAAGCCGTAGGTATATGTTTCAATTTAAGACATAGATAATATTAAGTAATCGAAGTAAATAGATTTTTATTGTGTATGATAGAAGTCATGTAATTATGAATGTTTGTTAACTAACAACTGTTTTAAACTTAGCATAAGAGATTATTTTTTACCCAGCATGATATCATAAAGTATTGTTTGAAATTTATCTATGTCTACCTATACATGTAACACGTGCGTGACAGACAGACCGACATAGGTCATACTTACCTATATCTGTCTGCCGTCAGTCTAAGTCCGTGGTGCTAGAAATTTGAAAGGTGAAAAATATTTGTTTGATATTCTAGACACAATTCCGACGACAGCATATTACTAAACATTTGTTTCAAAATGTCCTTTATTATATGACATGCCGTCTGTATTGGAAATGTAATTTTATATTATTTTCGAATTAACGACGAAGCTCGTTTCCACCTTCAGCCATCATCAGTTTCCATCAGGTGAGATGCAGGCCAATATAGGAAAAAAATCTTCTTTGTTTTTCTTGTGAGAGTAAGTTTGTTTATACAACACTAGCTGTGCCCGCGTCGTACGCGTGAAAATAGTTTGAATAATATTTACCGTTTTTGCAACATTTTTCTTTACTTCTCCGCTCTTCTTGGCTGGAGGATGATGNTGTACGTAGTACTTATTATTATTCTGTGGTTAAACCTATAAAGAATTTGAATTACCTGACGACATGCGGGTGCTTCTCTAAGGCGGCGTGTGCGTAAACCTCTGTCAGCGCTGCCCTTTCAGCCGCCGACCCCGCTACAGGCCTACAATAAACATACACAAGTAAATTAACAACAAATTAAAGCCAAATAAATAAATAAATATCCTTAGACATTTTTTACACTGCGCTTCTAGTCCCAAACTAAGCAAAGCTTGTACTATGGGTACTAGACAACGGATATAAACATACTTAAATACTTTTTTTTTTGTAAATACATACTTATTGTACATAGAAAACACCCAATCCAATACAAACAAATATGTTCATGCACACAAATGTTTGTACTGTGCGGGAATCGAACCCGCTACCTCCGGAATAGTAGTCCGTTCCGAACCACTACACCAAACGGCCGACTAAAATATTTCCATTATTGTATAAATAGTGTAGCGAACGTGCCCCAAACGCTTCGGAGTAAGCAGAGTCACCTCAGAGACGTTTAGAGTCACCAAAGTCACCTCAAGAGTCGTCTAAGAATCTCAGCAGAGATCACAGTCACCTTAGAATCGCTTCTGTGTCGCTAAAGTCGCCTCAGAGTTGCTAGAGTCAACTCAGTCTCTAGTCACCTCACGAGTTTCCAGAGTCACCTCAGAATCTCTCAGCAGAGGCCACAATCAACTTAGAATCGCTTTAGTGTCGCTAAAGTCAGTCGCCTCAGAGTTGCTAGAGTCAACTCAGTCTCTAGTCACCTCACGAGTTTCCAGAGTCACCTCAGAATCTCAGCAGAAGCCACAATCAACTTAGAATCGCTTTAGTGTCGCTAAAGTCGCCTCAGAGTCGTGGAATCGATTCAGAGTCTCTTGAGTCACTTCAGAGTGTCTAGAGTCGCCTCAGAATCTCAGCAGAGGCCACAGTCAACTTAGACTCGCATTTATGTCGCTAAAATCACCTCAGAGTCAACTCAGTCTCTAGAGTCACCTCAAGAGTTTACAGAGTCGCCTCAGAATCTCAGCAGAGATCAGTCACCTTAGAATCGCTTTAGTGTCGCTAAAGTCGCCTCAGAGTTGCTAGAGTCAACTCACTCTTTAGAGTCACCTCAAGAGTTTCCAGAGTCGCCTCAGAATCTCAGCAGAGATTACAGTCACCTTAGAATCGCTAAAGTCACCTCAGAGTCTCTGAATCGCAGCGAGTATCTAGTCTTCTTAGAGTTGCCTGAAAGTCGCTAGAATCTGAGTCGCCAGAGTCTCCTCAGCGTATCTAAGAGTCACATCAGAGTCGCTTTAGAGTCTCTAGAGTCGCCTCAGAATCCCAGCAGAGTCTCTACAGTCATCTTAGAGTCGCCTCAGTTACGCTAGTCACATCAAACTCGCTAGTCGCATGTTATCATGACGATGACGTCATCCACCACATTCTAAACCTTATCCCCTCGCGTTAAAGTCCAACTCCGAGTCGCTAGAGTACAATTATTATTGCCAGAGTCGCCCTGGAGTCGCCTTAATCACTAGAGTCGCCTCAGAGTCGCTAGAGTCGCACCAGTCTCTAGTCTCTTCAGAGTCTCTAGAGTCCCTTTAAAGTGGCTAGAGTCGCCTCATAGTCGCTACGGTCACTTTAGAGTCGCTAGAATTGCCTTAGTCGATTGTGTGTCGCTAAAGTTGTCTCAAAATCTCAGCAGAGTCACTACAGTCACAAATGTCGCCTCTGTGCCGCTAGCGTCGCATCAAAGTCACTAGAGTCGCTTCCTACCATGATGTTAACATTCACCACATTCTAAACCTTATCCCCTCACGTTAAAGTCCAACATACCTTAACGACCGTTTGAGCGCGTACACGCATCCGTCCAATTTGTTCACGCATTTTGTAACGCGCCCGAACTGCCCGCGACCTATCACGCCTAGCTCTATGAACTCCACGTTGTAGCGGGATATGATGATGATGACGCACTAGTTGCGTCGCAGCAGAGTTGCTATAGGGTCGCAGCAAAGTCGCTAGTCACCTCAAGAGTTACTTAAGAGTCTCTAAAGTCATCTTAGAGCCGCCCAAGAGTCTCTGTAATCTCCTCAGACTCTAAACTCACCTTAATGTCTGTAAAAGTCACCTTAGAGTCTCTAGAGTCACCTTAGAGACTTTAGAGTCACCTTAGAGTATCTAGTGTCACCCCAGAGTCTATAGTCACCTTAGAGACTTTAGAGTCACCTTAGAGTCTATAGAGTCACCTTAGAGTCTCTAGAGTCACCCCAGAGTCTATAGTCACCTTAGAGACTTTAGAGTCACCTTAGAGTATCTAGTGTCACCCCAGAGTCTATAGTCACCTTAGAGACTTTAGAGTCACCCCTAGAGTCTCTAGAGTCACCTTAGTCTCTAGAGTAACCTTTGAGTCTCTAGAGTAACCTTTGAGTCTCTAGAGTCCCCTTAAAGTGACTAGAGTTGCCTCATAGTCGCTACGATCACCTTAGAGTCGCTAGAATTGCCTTAGTCGATTGTGTGTCGCTAAAGTTGTCTCAAAATCTCAGCAGAGTCACTACAGTCACAAATGTCGCCTCTGTGCCGCTAGCGTCGCATCAAAGTCACTAGAGTCGCTTCCTACCATGATGTTAACATCCACCACATTGTGAACCTTATCCCCTCGCGTTAAAGTCCAACATACCTTAACGACCGTTTGAGCGCGTACACGCAGCCGTCCAGTTTGTTGACGCACTTAGTGACGCGCCCGAACTGCCCGCGGCCTATCACGCCTAGCTCTATGAACTCCACGTCGCAACAGAGTCGCTACAGGGTCGCAGCAAAGTCGCTAGCCACCTCAGAGTTGCTTAAGAATCTCTAAAGTCATCTTAGAGTCGCCCAAGAGTCTCTGTAATCTCCTCAGACTCTAAACTCACCTTAATGACTGTAAAAGTCACTTTAGAGTCTCTAGAGTCACCCCAGAGTCTATAGTCACCTTAGAGATTTTAGAGTCACCTTAGAGTATCTAGAGTCACCCCAGAGTCTATAGTCACCTTAGAGACTCTAGAGTCACCTTAGAGTCTCAAAGAGTCTATAGTCACCTTAGAGTCTCTAGAGTCACCCCAGAGTCTATAGTCACCTTAGAGACTCTAGTGTCACCCCAGAGTCTATAGTCACCTTAGAGACTTTAGAGTCACCTTAGAGTCTAGAGTCACCTTAGAGTATCTAGAGTCACCTCAGAGTCTATAGTCACCTTAGAGACTCTAGAGTCACCTTAGAGTCTCTAAGAGTCTATAGTCACCTTAGAGTCTCTATAGTCACCTTAGAGACTTAAGAGTCACCTTAGAGTATCTAGAGTCGCCTCAGTGTCTAGAGTCACCTCAAAGTAGCTTAAGAGTATCTAGAGTCGCATGAAACTCTCGAGTCACTTTTATCGATGATGACGTCGTCCACTACATTGTAAACCTTATCCCCTCGCGTTAAAGTCCAACATACCTTAACGACCGTTTGAGCGCGTACACGCATCCGTCCAATTTGTTCACGCATTTTGTAACGCGTCCGAACTGCCCGCGACCTATCACGCCCAGCTCTATGAACTCCACGTTGTACCGGGATATGTTTGACTCCTGCGGGATAAATAAATAAATAATAAACAAGCTTTCATAACAGTACTATAGTCTGGTCTGTGAGCACGTAGAATTAGGTCCAATGACCCCTAGCTACCCATCCTTATCGCTCGCGCGTAATTATGTTGCTATCGCGCTCGCACACTCACTGCGGGCGCCCGTCGCACAGTCGCGACAGCAATATAATTACGCGCGAGCGATAAGGATGGGTAGCTTGGGGTCATTGGACAAAATTCTACGTGCTCACGGACCGGGCTTTAGTTAAATATAAGATAGTAAGAACTTTTGCAGACTTTTAGAAGGACGATACTTGAGTCGGCTTGCAATTTGTATGAGGAATCGAGCGATACCAAATCGGTGTGTGCGCACTTCTACTTATGAAATAACATCGACTAAGCTGGTGGACTGTTTCCACCGCTGCAACTCCTGTGTAGCCAGGATCTACAGCTTGACCGCCAATAACCCAACCAGTGAAGGTCAAGTCTGTCCCGGGGGAAAGTTAAACTGTCATTGGACCCGCAACGAAATTAATCAGAAGAACATAGGAGTTCGAAGTTAAGGTTCTATTTCCTAAACGCATGATACGGTTTATTATTATCCACTTGTAGTAGTTTTTCCTGCATAAATGACTTTCTGTTGCCTGAACACTTTATGCGGCAGTGGGAAAACAGTTCCCACCATTTAGCGGAAGTGGGAATATTGTTCCCACCATGTTGCGGCAGTGTGAATATAGTTCCCACCATGTTGCGGTTATCTTAATTGTCTTAAGATCCAAAACAATGAAAAAATCGGACTTATTATGCCTTTATGGTAGGCTTTGGGCTATATAACATCACCCTACAGCCAATAGGGGCGGAGCAGTAAAGAAAAATGTTGCAAAAGCGGGAAATATTATTCCAATTATTTTCACGCGTAGAAGTATTGAAAATTCAATTCAAACTTACCCTGAGTCTTTTGGCAGGTTGCTCGGGCGTTGCATCCCACGTCGGTGTTTTCGACAACGCCCGTTTCTTTTTATTCAACGCTTGACCTGTAACAGATATTTTGTTTATTATTTAAACACTCGCAATTTAATCATTGAGGGAGGCCTATGTCCAGCAGTGGACGTCCTGTGGCTGAAATGATGATGATGACCAAGCACTTGTAATGAGGGTTTTCGCGATTGAAAAATCCGCCAGATGGCAATACGTAGACGCGAGGTCCAAATGCTGCGTGATTGGTGGATTTTGACATATCTGTCAATGTCATGTCAAAAATAACCAATCATGCAGCATTTGGACCTCGCGTCAATGTATTGCCATCTGGCGGATTTTTCAATCGCGAAAACCCTCATTGAGTAGTTGAGACCTTAGTCAATGAGGGGTTTTCGTTTTGTGCTATAGTTGGCGCCACTGGCGACTGACAGAACCTTACTATATTCTCTACTCCTTGATATTCTGCTTGATTCGTCCTAAATGACCTTTTTTATGTAGAACAATGCAGGTATTTGACCGCAATCGCACCTGGTGTTAAGTGAGATGCAGTCTAGGATGGTACATATTTGCTCTGTAAGTGCATTCACTCTCGCCTTGAAAAGGCCCCGATGATAGTGTTCAGGAAAGACTGCAGCAGGCAGCGAATTCCAGTCTCTATAGTCTGGTCTGTGAGCACGTAGAATTTTGTCCAATGATCCAAGCTACCCATCCTTATCGCTCGCGCGTTATTATATTGCTGTCGCGACTGTGCGACGGGCGGCGGCAGTGAGTGTGCGAGCGCGACAGCAATATAATTATGCGCGAGCGATAACAATGAGTAGCTTGGGGTCATTGGACGAAATTCTACGTCCTCGGCGACCGGACTTTAGCTAATGATGTTGATGTCTTACCATCAGGCGTGAATGGATTAATGTTGGCGGCGGGCCGCGGTGTCGAGTCATCCATGTCGTCGGGCGGCAGGCTGCCAAACGCGCTGTCTTCGTCCCCTGACGGGGGATGTAGATGATGATGATGATGATGATGATGATGATGATGGATGATGATGATGACTAGGCTCACCGTCGGAGGCATGCAGAAGCTAAACTTAAATACCTGGTGATGATGATGACTACGGTGACACAGTAGAGGGTCAGAGGGTTAGTGTTCTCCATCACTCGACCCTATGATGATGATGATGATGTGTCAAATCACTCTACCCTCTTAACTCGTCCTAAATTGCCTGATGATGGCGACTGAGTGGTGATGATGATGACGACTACAATCTGTCTCGCCATCTAGCAGCTAGAAATATGTTCTGAGCGATGCGTTATCGCTCGCGTATCAGTGAGTGTGCGAGCGCGACAGCAACATAATTACGCGCGAGCGATAAGGATGGGTAGCTTGGGGTCATTGGACAAAATTCTACGTGCTCGCAGACCAGACTATAGCTACATTAATGTTCTGCGCGACTCATCCTAAATGACTGGTAGAACAGTCTTGTCTTACCATCAGGCGTGAATGGGTTGATGTTGGCGGCGGGCCGCGGTCTCGAGTCATCCATGTCGTCAGGTGGTAGACTGCCCAACGCGCTGTCTTCGTCCCCAGACGGCGGGTGGAGGTGATGACTGGATCCTGACGGCATGCCTGCAATGAGAAAACAAATATTTAACAACAGCTCTTAATTTAAGGTTTGTTCTTAGCGCCTTAATTTCACCGTGAGTCCCATGCGACATGAGACTGAATATCGTTGAGGCCTTCGTCACCATCATAATACTTATAGTCCGGTCGCCGAGCACGTAGAATTTCGCCAATGACCCCAAGCTACCTATCCTTATCGCTCGGCGACCGGACTTTAGAGCATATGCACACGGCGATTTTTAAACGCGCCGTCTACGCGCGTTTCTCGCGATACACACAAAAGTCTATCCATGTTTGTAGAAAAAAAGACTCTCCTTTATGACGATCGGTCAAAAGAGAGATGCAGGTTATGGCGCGAGAGAGCTGATCTCCCCTGTCCTTTTGTCCCTGTGACTGAGAGTCCTCCACCTGGACATGAGCTCCCCTGGCTTACCTGGAAGTCTTTAAATAGACTTCGGACGCAGGTTGGCCGTAGTAAGGACAATCTGGTCAGGTGGGGATTCTTGGATGGCTTAAACATGGAGTGCAGGTGCGGTTTTGTTCCCCAGTCGATGAAGCACCTGATGTCGTGCCAGTGTGCCCAACTAACTGCACTCAGGAGGAGGTGGCGGAGTTTTGGGCTGACACTGTAGGTTTGTTGTCGACGCGAAAAGAAGAAGAAGAATAAAATGTAACTCACCCGTCGGCGCGTTCAATTTGGGCGGAAACAGCCTCGACCGGGGCGGGTGGTGGGAGGGCGTCGAACACTTCTCCAGCAACGACTTCGGAGTGTGGGGGCTGTCGAACAACCTGCGGGTAGACGGACAACTTATTATATGGAGCGTAAGGTACATTGGACAATGCTGGAAATAAGTGATTGATTATGTATTAAAATTCTGTTTTTCTCGGTTTTTCCGTTTACTACTATGTCTCCTGTTCCATAAAAAAAGTATTTGACCAGCAGTGGACTAAGTTTTCAAACGAACCTACGAAATCCATATTAATATTATTATTGCCAAGAAAAACTGCCCGTTTGCTAAGGGCCATTATGCCATAGCGGAGACGAAGCAACATATGCGGAGACGAGACTATGTAAAATATATAAATACGTATGTTTATATCCGTTGTCAAGTCCCATAGTACAAGCATTCATAATTTAGTACTAGATAACGTCGTATAAAGACGCTAAAACACACCAAAAACCATCCAAAGATTAATAACAGTGTCAAAACTACAACCCGGTCGATTAAAATGCGCACCTGACGGCCGTGACGTCACATCGCCGCTCTGTGTGCCTACCATGAGTTTACGTTAGGTGTGCTCGCTAGCGACTGCGTAAAAAAATGACACTTAAATTTATGACATATTGTGCAGCGCCCCTAGCGGCTACTTTCAAGAAATAAAATCTTCATAGAATTTTTTGACGTATTCGCTAGCGAGCTCACCTAAAGTAAACTCATGGTAGGCACACTGGTCCGGACGGGGCGATCGCGGGAAGGTGTGCGAGGAAGACTCGCATTCCGGCGAGGTGCGCATTTAACTCAATCGGGTCGTAAAAACCGATCTTTTAGAAAATACAACACCTGAATCAGGCCTGGCTCACTCCGCGCGGTACATCCGATAATTACCTACAGCGAAGCGCCCCGCCGGCGGGTATTATAACAGTCGAGTGTCAAGCGCGCGCCCGTCAGGACTCTCTGGCGTGAGTTGTAGTACCTAATTCTATGATCGAAGTATTATTTAAAAATGGACATAAAGAGAAAGAAATATTGTGCGGCGTTCAGGTGTTTAAATTCGAAAAGAAATCTACCGGATTTATCTTTTTTTTCGCTTCCCAAAGAATGATGATGAAAGGTATGTTGGCCATGTCGGTAATCAATAATTCTTAGGATAGTATAGAATTCTTCTTTTTTTCTGTAATAGTATGTTTAATTTATTCGTCTTGTGTTAAAATAGGTATCAATGAAGACATTGTAATAAAATAAGTTTTTTTTAATCCTAAGTAGGTATATTTGAAATGTTATTTTTACAAAGGTAAAATAACAGTAATACTTTACCTACGTACGTACCTCATTACAAATAAGAAGATTAATTATTTTTTCACTAGACAGCAACCCTAACAGCGTAAGAAAAGTTCAGAGGCACGCGATAGAAAGAGACAAAACTTGTAGGTGAATAAAATTGTAGGTACGTAGTGCTGTGCGAGCTGAATTCCACTGTATCGCGTCGTAGCAAGACTCGCATTTATTTAAATCGTCTTGCGGAGTAATCCTTCTGTACCTGTACTATTACTTATTCTGTGGTTCTGGTCCGGACGGGGCGATCGCGGGAAGGTGTGCGGGTGAGTGCGAGGAAGAGTCGCATTCCGGCGAGGTGCGCATTTAACTCAATCGGGTCGTACAAACCGATCTTTTAGAAAATACAACAACCAATGATATTATATAAAAACAAAAGCAGATATGTTATAAGCGCTCGCGCTGTGAATACTCAAATACGTCCCAATTGGGACGTCTTGTGTTTAGTCTTCGTGTGGCCTGCGTCGTGCGCAATCGCGTGTACCACACCGTAAGTTCCTGTGTTCTTACCAAAATAAATAAAAAATGCCATCGTGTGTGTTTCGAAAGTGTACCAATTATGACTCTAAAGTAAACAAAATACAAGGGATCTCTTACCACATGTGATTATGCAAAATTATTTAGTATTTATATTCAGTTATTTATGCAAACAATCAAGACGCCATGCGCCATGTTCAAGTTAAGAAAGAGAAAGCGATCTTGTTTTGACGTTAGAGCGATAAGGATGCGTGCGCTGCGGACATAGATTAGTTAGTGCAGAATCGTTAAAACTATAGCTATCTCTTTCATTTGCGTGCTATTTCGTATCTTTTGTTTCACTTATCAGTTACATTTGTCAATGTGTGCAATTTGGAATAGCTCGGCACGGATTAAAATCGTAATTTCTATGAACGTAACATATCTATAGTTCTTTAATATCATTGACAACACCTGAATGCAATATCCTTGAAAAATATACGGTAAACTATACTTGCTACGCATCTTGCTACATTTCCATTGTAATTCACCCTTCTTATGGACAATAGATCGGAAGACACGTGCTTCCTTTTCACCCTTAGGAATTGACTCCATTTTGACCCTTATCGCGTTGTGTTCGTAAGAATGAAACTTGTAGTCTTCACAGGTAGGTACTATTAATTCTTATAGATTTCGAGCTTTTAGGGTGAATTTCCGTTGATGTGGGGAGTTGAAGGACAATGGGGCATTTGACGTATTTGTTTGAGATGTGAAATGAATAAATATACTTGGACATTTTATAGAATTATCTAAATTCCTGCTGTTCCAGGGTGACGTGGAGAGGTCACTTTCTAATGATAAGACCGCCTAAATTGTACGCCAGTTTTGTATGGTGACCAATTAAAACGAAGGACGCAAACCATAAATATTTAGAGGACTCCCACACTATTTGCAAAGATTTTAGTTAGCTAGCGTGCGCTACCTTAGCATTAGTTTATGTGCGCTCTCATTGCTAAAAGGTTTCCAAAAACATGCGAAACATACTTAGTTTATGAGAAGTACTTAGTATTTACAAAAAGTGCATCTGTCCAGTACATTTGTAGAAACACGTGTGTGTACACATCTTGACAAATATCTTTGTAATAATAAGTTAGTTTCCCACGGTGCTGCAGTGATTTAAAATCCAGGATACAACATTGCTCCACCGGAGTATTCTCAGCGATGCGTGTCCAACCGTGGTCTTAGTGGGCATCACCCGTAAAATCACGGCCGTGGGAAACCACCTTAATTATTTTCACGGAGACTGCGTAGTTGTAAATGCAACGTTGTTAAATTAAATTAGGATGAATGACTGACTCACGGCGATGTAGGGAATTCTACTTAGCCTAGGCGCAGATCACCGATTTTTAGTCCGCCGATAGTTGGGCCCGATTCTAATTTGTATGAAGAATCAATCGGTGTAATGTGCGCAGTTCCATAGATGCCCATACTGATTAACTGCCCGACTAAACTATCGGCCGATAGAAAATCGGTGGTCTGCTTGGTGGCCTAGGCTTACAATAATTATACTGCATTGAGCATAGGTAGATATTCTGATATTCTCTAACTAATCTGTAATAGGCATAATTCTCTACTACCCGCGCGAAGAAAGTGCAAAGCGAATGACAGGGACTTTGTTTTGTCTCGTCATCCACATAGCACTGGAGGGAACTCGCACCTTAACTTCGAACTGCTCCTATGTTCTTCTGATTATTTTCTTTGCGGGTCCAATGACAGTTTAACTTTCCCCCGGGGCAAACTTGACCTTCACTGGTTGGGTTATTGGCGGTCAAGCTGTAGATCCTGGCTACGCAGGAGTTGCAGCGGTGGAAACGAGAGGTGGGAATAGTCCCGTACCCGCGCGAAGCTGCCAGTTACAATACAAATTCAATTAAGACGTTTCATGCCAGACGTTAGTCGTCCATTTGTACGACCGCACACGAAAAATAACCAATTTATGTGCGCTCTTACAAACGGACGACTGATGTATATTGAACTTCTTCTTCTTCTCAGTCGGTACACTCTTGTCAGAGTGGTCGTGGTCATCATTTTGAATCACTATTCAGAGTGATGTTCCACGTAATACGGCGCCATTCCTCGCGGACTGCAGCTTTCCGGGTACTTTCGCTAACCGAGCACTTAGTTGCGGCCTTGATATGGTCTGTCCATCTCATTGGTGATCTACCACGTGGTCTGGTGCCCTCAACTTTTCCCTGTACTACGAGACGCTCTATGGAGTCATTACTGCGCCGAGATACATATGTATATTGAACATACTTCTCAAATCGTCCAATTTTTTAGAGACATGTTCGTTCGTTGCAGCCGAAAGACGTCACTGCTGGACAAAGGCATCCCCCAAGGATTTCCACATGACCTACACCAAAATCCACTTAAGTCAGTTCGCTGATAAACGCTAACTTCTTCTTTCTTTTTTCTAGTCAATAGGTAATGTGTTAGGAAAAACCAAAAAATCTTTAAAACCAACTTAGCGCAACGGGACTATTCCCACCTCTCGTTCCCACCACTGCAACTCCTGTGTAGCCAGGATCTACAGCTTGACCGCCACAAAACCCCAACCAATGAAGGTAAAGTTTGTCCCGGGGGAAAGTTAAACTGTCATTGGACCCGCAACGAAATTAATCAGAAGAACATAGGAGGAGTTCGAAATTAAGGTTCGACTTCCCTCCATTGCAAAGCGGATGACAGGTGACAAACAAAGGTTTAAAAAAAACCCTTTAAGAAAAAGATTATGCACCACGGACAATAAATTAAATTAAGGGGGCCTATCTTATGAGTAATTAGCAACTACCTGCCAATAATATTTTTCACAAAATCGCTTAAAAGCACGGAAATTTTTCCTTGTCGCGACAAGATCGGTGTAATAAATTGCGGAAACAGATGTATGTTGTATTGAATTAAGCATTATATCACGTTCATGTTTCCAAAGATCACACTCCCACACAAGATATGATGGGCAGACTGCTCATGACAGACATCATCAGTGGAACACTCGCAAAAAGGAGACGGAACTAGTTTGAATTCGTGAAGTTTATGTTTAAAGTTGCCATGTCCCGTGAGCAACTTAGCGCAAGCCGAAAAAAGTTTTTTAAGACGAGCAAAGCCGTAAAAACTACGTCTTAGATCTATTTACGTTTAAACATTCACAAATCCAAACTAAGGGCGCACGCGCAGGTAGACACCTTAATCCTGTGACCTTCCTTATCGCCCTCGCAATAAGGCCGTAAATCCATTGTCAGTACACAAGGTGATTCATATGCACTTTTTGTGGGCGGACTTTTTGTAGCAGTCAGCTGTTCGGATCAGATGGTCTTGTTTTGTTCGAAATAACTGTGCTTTAACTGAATCTAACCGAATTTTAAGTTCGCGAGGTTTAGCCGACGGTACAAAGGGAGGTTGTGTTTGTGGGAATGTAATTTGTAACATAGGAAGCAATCAATCGCCCGTATTCACAAACATTACTATGAGGTCTCACAGTGCGTGTGGTCGCACACGGTCACACACGAACCAATCACAGAGCTCTATTCAACACTATGCGTTCAATTTTTTCCGTCACTTAAGCAAGCATCGTTTGTGAATACGGGCGTATGTCCATAATACTTAGAGACTTAGAGACTTATGGCCAGTAGTTTTACTTTTCTTCTAAAAATAAGGATTTAAAATTACCTAACACAAAAATGCCTACTTCAAATACGTACATGTACAATGGTAGCGGTTTATGTGTTTATGTAAACATAATAACTAACACAAGTAATATACAGTTCAAAAACCATCATAAGTCATCAAAAAACCATTAATTACTTCCATCCAAGCTTTTAAAAGCTATGAATTCCTTCCAAGCCTATAAAAAACTATTATCACATCATAATATGCCATACTTAACATAGCACAGACAAGACTAGCCAAAAAAATTATGTAGATTTTAAAAGAAAAACGAAATTCTAAAATCCTGTTTCATTTCACTAGATTATTCCATGAGTCATATGGTATAACTGCCATAGAACAGACCAGTTTGAATGGTATTTGGTACCCAGGTCAACAATGCAAATACCACTTTCAAAAGAATGTTGACATGTTGTAACAAGTTCACAGTTTGGCAAAATTGGACATGTAACAACAAGTTTGGGATTGAGGAACTTTTATAAATTTTTCGGCCGTTTGGTGTAGTGGTTCAGAACGGACTACTATGCCGAGAGGTCCCGGGTTCGATTCCCGGCCGGGCAGAAATTGAAATGATGAAATTTAATTTCTGGGTGTGACTATGTATAATATTTATGTATTTAAAAAAAAAAAAAGTATATAAGTAGTATATCCGTTAAGCTAGCACCCATAACACAAGCATTAAGTTGCTTACTTTGGGGCTAGCTGGCGCTGTGTGAAAATTGTCCAAATATTATAAATATAAAATGACGTAGGTCTGGCGTTCACCAGCTCTTAGTCTATTACTTTTGTCACCTGTGCCTGAGGTACTGACCATGTATGTTTATGGTATGGTTCACATACCAGTCACTGAACTACTATTCTAGAGATTGCAGGTTCGATTTGTGTGCATGAAGATGATATGATGATGTTCAAGTTTTAAGGGTTAAGGCTGAGTTACCACAAAAATTTGACCGTAACTAACTATAATAACAATAACCGGTGTGTTTTGTATGGAGTTTGACAGATTTCTGACATTTGTTACAGTCAAAGTAAGATGGTGCAACCCAGCCTAAAACTTTCAATAATAGAACTACTGGTGAAAGCAATACCTAATAGGGGTGGACCCAAAAATTAAACTAAATCCATAGTAGGTACAATATTTGAAAAATCAATAAATCTTTGAACATTAAAAAAATGTGTACATTATGGTTGCATTATTATGTATTTAGCAATTTACAACCCATTTCTCAATAGAAAGGCATAGTCACACAACATAATGTCAAGGTAAACATTGTAGCATCTTGTTTAGTTATAATATGCATTGTTTTTCAACAAAAAATGTCTTTCTAGCACCTTCTATAGCATAAAAGTAAGTTGGGATTTATGCATTTAAATAAGACTTACAGATTACCGCCTGTATTCACAAACAATGCTTGCTTAAGTGAATCATCAAATCGAACACACAGCATTGAATAGAGCTCTGTGATCAATACTAATTCTATACTAATATTATAAATGCGAAAGTAACTCTTGTCTGTCTGTCTCTCTTTCACGCCTAAACCACTGAACCGATTTTGATGAAAGGCATAGAGATAGTTTGAGTCCCGGGAAAGGACATAGGATAGTTTTTATCCCGGTTTTTGAAACAGGGACACGCGCGATAAAGTTTTTCTGTGACAGACAAAATTCCACGCGGGCGAAGCCACAGGTGGAAAGCTACTTGGTTTATATGTCACCCTTTGCAATCCCATGCACTGTTGAACCTCATAGTAATGTTTGTAAGTATAAAGGTGATCATCAAAATTTGGAAGGAGTCTCATTGAAACCATGAAGTATAATAATATGATTTACCAGTAAGTAATAATAAATGTTCATTTCATTCATCACTGAGGTTTATAGAAAACCCATATCATTTGAACCTTTCTAATTCCCAATTGGCAAAAAATTATTTAATGATCTTATCTTTTGGTTTGTATAATACAACTAGCTGTGCCCGCGACTTCGTACGCGTGAGAACCCGTTTTTGCAACATTTTTCATTGTTGCTCTGAGTCTAATACTCGTATCGTGATAGGGCTTTCTAACACCGAAAGAATTTTTCAAATCGGACCGGTAGTTTCTGAGATTAGCGCGTTCAAGTAAACAAACAAACAAACTCTTCAGCTTTATAATATTAATATAGATACATAATCAGTACGTTTCAGGAGAATCAGTTATTTAGATTCGGTATGCACTAATCATGATCCTAACAGATATCAATATGAAAAACCCCGAAAACATAAACAACAACAATCTTACAGTATTTAGTGGGTCATTATATGGCTAAAATTTATGCTAGTAACGTCTCAAACCACTAGAAACGTGTTATTTTGTGCATAGAATACGAGTAGTGAAAGTTATACCTTACCTTAGGGCTCTGACTCTTTTGTACGGAGGACTAAACGACGGTGGGGCCGGCGACGCATCCCTGATGCCATCATCGTCATCCAAACTGCTGAAATCCAGCTTCCTTGGCATAATAGAAGCCGGTATTGGACTCAAATTGTCCGAAAACATATTATAAGAGTCTGACATTTCACATGAACTTTCAACCGATAATTCCGACGAATTATGCTTGTTGTTGAATCCGTTTCTCATCCTATACCATTCAGTCATGATGAATTACACATTTGATACACCTTTAACAACAAATACACACTGAATTCACTATTTTTTTTAGCAAACAAAGCGCACTTTCACAATTTACAAGAACTACGTTATGGCGGATGACGCATAGCACCTGTTCAAGTGTTTAGCCAATCACAGCGGAGTATTTGACCGGTGAGATGAATACGGCGTTAACATTGGCTAGAGATATTTTTTTTAATTCGGCAGCAAATTCGACGATTTTTATTGGTTGATGATATGGCTGCGATCTATAAATAATAATTTTGAATAACGTTAGAGTTATTTAATTGTAACGTTATTCAGAACACAGTAGTCATATAATAGAAGTCATATTTATTTAGCTCAGCACGACAGACACGGTTAATTAATCATAGATAAAAATATAACGGTTAATGATGAAGAAAGCACTTTACGAAATATAGGCTGCATTAACCAAAACGTAAGACTTGAGGCGATCAACATAAGCTAAATAATCTCATGTGACAATGAAAATACTAGGAAGGTATATACGTCCATTTAGGCCAGTAGAATTAAACATAAAAATGAATTAAATCAGAAATAATTCCTACTAAAGATTTTAGTCTTTTAATTTTATAGCGCGTCAAACAGATAATAAAAAAAAAATGGACACGTATTTTTTCATAATTAAATAATTACAGTAAGTTTATATTGAAATGAAATGTCTGGCTTTTACCCGTGGTCCCCCCAACATGTCCCCCCCCCCGTCATAAGTCCTAAGGCACCCCCTGGTACCCCCCAGGATTTTGGGACCGATGTAGTGGGGAACCTACCGATTCGAAGATTGAAAGACAATCGCACCGCAATCAATCGCAGTAGGTATACGTCAATGTATACGACGGCACTGGATTTTGTCGTTTATAAATATCTTCAACTTCAAACTAGGAACCTGACTTAGCTTTATGAACGAAGAAAACCTATTGGCAAAACTACGAATTTTTACATTTATTAAAAACTAGCTTTCCGCCCGCGGCTTCGCGTGCGTGCACTACATTATCTACATATTTTGCGGAACCCTATTTTTTCGTTTTACCAGTATTTACACTTATCATTTAATGATACCTATGTCAAGAAATAAAGATTTTACATTGAGTTTCATTGACTTTGAGCAAATTTATATTTTTTGTTTATTTAGAAAGAGAGAGTCTGCCCACAGAGAGCGAGATAGTGATACATAGGTTGTGCTTCAAGTGGGTATTCGGAGTGTGGCCTCCATTTTTATCTATTTAGCTTCATATATGGTTCAATGTGCATTTTGGCACGGTATAGCCTGACCAGTGGGTCTAGACAAAGTGCAAATTATAATCGCAAACCAGTCGATAAGTGGTCGAAAAGCCCCTTTTTTGTATGGAGTTTTGACGGATTCGATTTTCGATTCGATCAAAAAGTGCGTTTTGTCTAGGGGGGCAGGAACATAAAAACCCTGGCATAGAGGCGCCTCAATTGCATTTGATAGTGCAACACTGAGTACAGTCGTACCTGTGTTAAATTAATAGGTTAACTTTATGTATCAGGATTCAGGATTACGGGCTAATTTGATATTTTCATAAATTAACGAAAAAATATTATTATAGGTAACCTGATTTAAATAAATTAAATGAAACCATCAATCGAGNTCCGATTTTTTTAATGCATAACACGGCAGGTATTTGACCACAATCGCACCTGATATTAATATTTTATTCTACTTGCATATATTGGCGCCCAATATGTTGTTTTGATAATTTGTTTATTGTTGGAAATATCTAGAGCTGGGTTGTCAATAGGGCATGTAATATCGGAAGGTTTTCAATTCCGATATTGGATTCCGATATTACATCTCAATATCGGAATTCCGATATTAATATCGGAATTGAGTTCATGCAGTGGCGTAGCGTGGGTGGGGCGGAGGGGGCGGCCCGCCCCGGGCGGCCAGCTCGCGGGGGCGGCAAAATATCTCAGTTTCGTATCTATCTCCAGAAACCCAGAATGAATTTTAAACTTACTAGGACAGCAAGTTCGATCCACCATCATCCGTCGTATTCAAAAAGCTAAATATTATTGCGTAATCTTCGACAGTACACCAGACATCTCCCACAATGACCAAATGAGCCAAGTTCTGCGATACGTACATATCAAAGGAGAAAAAGTCGCCGTGGTAGAATCTTTCATTGACTTCTTCGAACCAAAAGGAAAAAATGCAAAAGATCTCAGCAATGATATAATCGCGAAGATAACATCAGACGGACTGGACATACAGAATCTGAGAGGACATGCTTATGACAATGCTGCCACAATATCAGGGATTCACAATGGAGTTCAAGCCAGGATTAAAGCACTGAATCCGAAAGCTCTATACGTTGCATGCACAAACCACTCGCTAAACTTGGCTGGGGTACACGCTGCTTCTGAATCAGTGTATTCCGTGACGTTTTTTGGAACTCTGGAGAAGCTATTTGCCTTCTTTTCTGCATCAACTGTTCGATGGAACGCTTTGGTTGCCGTCACAGGCCAAGCAGTGAAACGAGTCACTGAAACGCGCTGGAGCGCTAGACATGTAGCTGTCAAGATGCTTAAAAATAAGTTTGAGATAGTTCTTGAGGTACTGGAACAATTAACAGATTCATCTCAAACTTCCGAAACAAGATCGGGAGTCAGTCTTTTCCTGACAGCCATGCAGTCATTTAACTAAATAATAAATAAATAATAAATATCCTTAGACATTTTACACTGCGCTTCTAGTCCCAAACTAAGCAAAGCTTGTACTATGGGTACTAGACAACGGATATAAACATACTTAAATACTTTTTTTTTTTGTAAATACATACTTATTATACATAGAAAACACCCAGTCCAATACAAACAAATATGTTCATGCACACAACTGTTTGTACTGTGCGGGAATCGAACCCGCTACCTCCGGAATAGTAGTTCGTTTCGAACCACTACACCAAACGGCCGACGAAACTTTCTAACTTTTCTTGGCTTTTGGGCTGCAGTGCTACCTGAAGTAGATGACGCACAGATTTACCTGCAGCAACGAGGACTAAGTGTGGATAAGTGTGCTCAGAAACTCTACGCTTTGAAAACCCTCTTAGTGGAAAGTAGAGACCGTTTCGTGCAAGAAGCAATTGACTTTGCTAAGACTCTCTGCGAAAAACTCGCAATCGAACTCAAAACGAGAAGAATTCGCAGAAAAAAACGCATGCATGGCGATGAATCTTCTGAAGATGCAGCTTTGTCTCACGAGCAGGAAATCCGTCGAGAGGTGTTCGCATCATTCGACAAGATCATTCAAGAAATGACGACTCGATTCCAGCAAATTCAAGAAATATCGGACAAGTTCGGATTTTTGATGCCAGCGAAACTTTTGGACAGCAAGTTCGAGTGTGATCTTTCCCATGTATTAGAAGACATTGACAAGGACGAGTTTCAGATGGAGCGGAAGCGTCTCCAGCAGTTTGTTGCCTGTTCTGAATCAGAGGAAGATATAAGTGGTAAAGGACCACTGGAGCTCCTCCAGTTCATTCAAAAACTAAATCTCGGAATTTCGGTTCTAAATATAGTCATCTTGATTCGTATATATTTGACTTTGGCGATTAGTGTTGCAAGTTGTGAGAGAAGTTTTTCGAAGTTAAAGCTAATAAAAAATTACCTCAGATCTACTATGAGCTCCGCTAGACTGTCAAACTTGGCTATATTATCGATTGAACAAGAATGGGCTGCTAATATTGATTTTGACAAAGTTATTTCTGACATCGCTGCTCATAAGGCCCGTAGAACCCGCTTGTAAAACCGCTCATCCTATTTTACCTTCAATAAATAAAAGATACCTCATTGCCTGCGAAATTTAATTATGGGGGCGGCAAAGTGGGTCTCCCGCCCCAGGTGCCGAGATAGCACGCTACGCCACTGTTTGTCGGAAACATTATTCAATGAAAATATTGTCCGAACTCTTAGTATTTCTCTTCGACAAATACTTTAACACATTGTGAACCACTTTTCTTTCACGACTATAAAAATATTTTAGCAATTTAATTCATAAAACCAATTGCGCACATTTAAAATAAAGTTTGTTTACACTTTGACAGCAATAGACTGACATGCAAGGTGACATGTCAATGAAGTTTTCAGTTACTGTTGCCATTAAAAGAAATTAGTACCATTAGTTTTCCGCAACATGGCGAGGGTTTTTATGTTCCTGGTCAGGCTATAATACTATATGATATTATTACCGTGATTTTGGCTGCCATTTTACGATCGAATTGAATTACTGGTGAGTGGTGACGAAATTAACTGCTTAAACAAAATAGTAAACAACCGCCATGATGGGCCGGATTGGGTCGATGTTGCCACATGGTACCGATTTCCCAGGAATTGGGATTGTAATTCCCTGATTCGCCAACACATTAAGACTAAACGGCCGACAATTTTGTGATTTTTAATTTAACTAGGTAATCGTAGTTCAAATATTTAATTATTTATTTGTTTAACTTCTGATTTGGTTAGTGAATTGGCTATTTCGAAGAATTTACTAGGAGATTTAAATAAGGAGATAGCAATACTACAGTCCACACTAAAAAGAGAGGTCGGCCCACAGAGAGCGAGATAGAGACAAGTAGGTATTTGACTCAAGTTGTTGTTCCAAGTGTGGCCTCCATTTTTATCTTTAGCTTCATGCTGGCAACCATTGTTGTATAATCTGTGCTTGCGATCAGTGGTGCCAGATTAGGCGAATTATCGCCATTTAGGCTACCTCTGGGGGTCAAATGGCGACCAAAAAATGCAAACGGCTACCGGTAGCCATTTAGGCTACCTAGAAAATAAGATCGGGCTATTTAGGCTAATTCAGGATTACCTTGGAAAATAAATCCTAACCTAGTATTCTGTAATTCAGTTAGTTTTTTAAAATGACCCCTACCCCCTTTTACTACTCTAAAAAGTCCAAACTCCATACTAAATCCGTCAATTTTTTTCTAAGTGTCAGTTCCATACAAATTACGTTCGAAAACTCGGTTATTCGGCTAAGTCCTGCACCCTCTTTGCTACACCCTAACCGTACATAAATAATAATTATCAAAATCTGTTTTACATTACCGGTGGGCCAGCTGGTATTCTATACAATGCCTAGGAATTACATACACGCCTAGGTAAAGTATTTATTGAACAATAATATTTTAAACATTGCCTACGCGCCCCAGGCATTGATTTTACACATTGACTAGGTATTGTATAGAATTCCTAAGTTATACAAATTGCCGCTAACACATACATTACGCACACATTTACACGCAATATAAATACACAAAACAACATGGCCGCAATATAGGAAATGACAGGTTTTGTGTGTGTGTGTGTGTGTGTGTGTGTGTGTGTGTGTGNATCAGAAATGAGGAGCTCCGTAAACTAACTAAAGTCGCTGATATAGCCCGACGGATTAGCAAGCTGAAGTGGCAATGGGCAGAGCACATAGTACGCAGAACTGACGGTCCATAGTCCAGTAAAATTAATGTTTGAAAGGGAGTTGAGATGTCGTTCTTTGTTGACCAAGTACCTATGGCAAATGCTAAAATTGATTTAGAACAAGTTAAAATTACCTACAAATAGTAAAGATAGTAAAATATTTGCTGTGGAACAAAAACTGATGGTGAGAGACATGAGAAAATCATTGGTATTTGCCAATCATGTACTTTGGGCTTTGTGGCAGGTTGTGGCGAGTTTAAACGCTTTGTTTAAAATCTCAATTAAAACTTTTATCTGATTCCGATATTACGATATTGGATCGCTCAATATCGGAATTGAAATATCGGATCTCGCAGTCCGAGATTCCGATATTACGAGATTCCGAGATTCCGATATTCATGCCCTAGTTGTCAATAATTTTGATACAATGTCGAAGTACTCATTGCCTTAATATCTCTAGATGTTCAAACTTCAGTCTTAGCTGTAAATAACAAAATGTCTTTGCCAGAATAGGATACACTTACCGACTTTCCTAGTGATCTTCCTAGGGAGGTCCCAAGTGCCGGTGTAGTGTCCGAAGCACCTGGACGTGCCCCTCGGAGCGCCCGGCAGAAAATGGCCGTTCATATCGCAGATCGGCTTGGGGTTCGGCCGCATCTCCATTGGGCGGGCGCGAGTTGGCGCCCAACGTGGGACCTGCCAGTTGCCGAGACGCTTCGGCGTGGATTCCCTGTTGAACTGAAGGGAAAATATTTATTTATGGCAGAAATAAGGCAAATACTTCGTTCGTTTCAGCCAAATGACGTCCACTGCTGGACAAAGGCCTCCCCCAAGGTTTTCCACAATGAACGGTCCTGCGCTGCCCGCATCCAGGCTCTTCCCGCGACCTTTACCAGATCGTCGGTCCACCTAGTAGGAGGCCTGCCCACGCTACGTTTTCCAGCCCGTGGTCGCCACTCGAGAACTT